ATTTGGAGGACCACAGATTGCACTGGCATATCATGCAGACCTGCCAACTCTGCTTAGGCTTTGTCTACACTCAGAAGCTAAGCAAGATCAGCTTTGATCAATACCTGGAGGGGAGCTATAATTGCTATTGGATAGACCTCCTGGAAGAAAGAAGGCAACGGCAAAATATTTCTATAATGCTGCAAAGAAAACTATATGGATATGTTGATGAAGTCACCAGGAGTCCAGCTAGACTCAAATGAGTTTTTCTTTGTTTTATAATAAATCATGATTACATAATCATACAAACAAGAACATATTTGCCCCAACAATGGTATTGTCCCTATGATATGGGTGATAGTGATTATGCCTGTTCCGATGAGAAAATGAGATTTGTTCCAACCACATAAAAGGACCATTCTTATTGTTTGCCTAATCACAACTGTGTTGGGGAGATGTCTGGTGATTTGGCAAACATTAATAGGAGAGCTGCCTCCTCTTCGCTGCCTTCCACGCAAAACTTCAGAAGCCTCTTCCTAATCAAGCCAAGTCAAAGTCATTGCTTGAAATACGGCTCTCCAACCCTATTAAGCTAGTGGGCACTTTTACAAAAATGGCTGCCAAAGGGACTTGGGCTAATTCACAAAACAGCTGCCACGATCAGCGTGTCCAGAAAAATCTATCTGTGTGGTTACTAAACATCAACGTTGGTACATAACCATCACCATCCGCCTCTTCAATATTTTCATTATCAAGTATCCGGCTTGTTGCTGTGGAGGCTGCTTTTCTTATGTAGGAGACTATAAGTGTATGAAGAGATTTGTTCGATCAGACCAAAAGCCCAATTAATTTTGTTTCTTTTGTGTCACCTACTGGACAACCACATGCATTCAAAAAGCATGTAAGCCCGGACAGTACTGTAGTCCTCTTCTACTCCCTAACGGATGATTCTAGAACAGTGTTTCTCAACTTTAAGATGGATGGACTTCAACTCCCAGAATTCCCCAGTCAGCTGGCTGGGGAATTCTGGGA